ATTTGATTTTCACGATTTCCGATCGAAAATGAAAACACCCCAACATCGATTTTTAAGAAAAACAATTGAATAAAACGCAACGCAAAAAATTAACCTAAGAATTAAAGATTCTTTGCATGAAAAAAAAAAAAATCCAATTTCGTTTTCTCAAGTAACGTATGGTACCTTAATCAGCTCCAAGCCGAATTCTCCCCATGAATTTGAGGGCGTCATCGGGTGCATGGGTTTTCTGAATCAGTTCAGTCATTCCTTCTGGCATTCTGCCTTCATCGATTTCCTTGGCAAATTTTCGGTACTGTAAAATGAAACACGTGAAAAGAAATCGAGCAGTCAATTTTTTTTTCTTTTAAAAAATAAAAGCGAATACGACGAGTTACACGGTTCCGCATGGATCAGCTTGTTAATGCTGCTGTTCTGGGAAAGGTTCAAAATGTTAACAATTGAACATTTCAATGCCTGTTTCAACACATGGATCAAAAGGGCTGAGAAGTGAGTACAAATCGGTGGTGATTACATTGAGAAGGTGTCTGCCTAGCTACTTTGAACTATTGAAGAGAACAAAAAAAATGTTTTAAAAAATCCTTGGTGTTCAGATCATTTCAAGTCCGCGCGAAAACGTGTAACCCCTCGCCTCTTATGTTGCAATTATGATTTTCGGAGAACTCTGACCACATATTACGTTCAAGTAACGTATTGAAATTTTCTTTCTGAATAATGACATGGATTCGGGATTAAGGCAACTTTTTGCGCGTGCGTCTTATTTATACTCACCAAGTCTAATTCATTTCTTAAAGCAGCTATTGCACGTTCTCGGCCAGACACAAGTTCTTCAAGGTATTGGTAACGCAGTTTCTTCCTGGCCCTGCACTCCCTTGCTGACTGCCTGCTTCTTTCCATCTTGAACAGATCCTGTCCAAGACCTGAAGACAAAAAGGGAAGCAATAGCACATTAAAAGCAGGAAACAGCAATATAATCCTGGCTTTAAGTGACATCTACCCATGGCAAGAACCGTTGTCAAAATCATGTCAAAGTATTAAA